GCTGGGGCTCAAACCCAGGTCCAAGGGGTGACAGACGCACGCTTTAACCACTGGAGTGGTGATACATTCATTAACATTGGCACAAAAATAAATACATAACATAAAACTTGCCCTGATTGTACTTCATCTTCAACCTCCAGCCAAAGGATCTGTAACTTGCTCATTCTTCAACCATTTTCAAAAATGTAAACATGAAACTTGTATATTTTTTCACCACGAATCCAACCATGTAACTAATTTAAGCTAACATTCAAAGATAAAGATGAATTTATGAAAGTACCAAATTCTGACCTAAATGTTTCAGCAAGTTTAAACTCAAAATTCTTCATGCTCAAGCAACATAAATGAAATTTATGGACATGTATAGTTTCAGGGCAATGATATCTATATTCTATCTTCACAAATGCAAGCCTAATAATGCTTATATGAATAGTTCAAAAGTCAGAAAACTCACCTTGCAAGAGGGTATCGTGTTTTGAGTTTGAGCAACTTTTGATGAGTTCCAGTGGTTGGGTTAGCTTCCTCAAGTTCCCAGGAAGCTAATGTGATGCTTGGCTTGAGCTGAAAGTGGCTGAGGAGTTCTGGAGAAGTCCACTTGCAAAGCTCTGTTTTTGAAAATGGAACTTGATGATGGAGGTGTTACAGTTAGGCAAAAGGACTTTGGATGGTTTGTATTTGATGTTTATAAGCCTTAGGAACCAAAAGGCTTGGAAACGCACGAGGGAGATGTGAGTTTCAAGTTTTTTGTTAGATTCTGCAACAATGGAGTTTTGTGATACAGTTCTGAGTTTTTTGTGTATTCGTGTCTTTTAATGCAAACAACTTGTGCATAAGTAAGGAAAATGTTCTGAGGTTTGAGAGGGTCAGAATCATACAAGTACAAGTTATGGCTATGTTACTTGATTTTGAAGAAAAGTGAAAACATGGTTTCAAAGCAAAGTACAAGCATGGCTTCGGTACCCGGGGCATTTCCCTCACATGCTGAAGAAAGAAAGCTCCTCTCTTTTATTTATAACATTTCTAAAGAAATTTACCCAGCCAAAACTACTTCCTTTATTTCTAGTTTTCCCCGTCAAGTTGAAGAAGACTCGCCCCCGAGTCGTTAGTGCTTTCTTCACCATAATAAGGAAAAAGATCAGAAACTGCTGAGTTATTTAGAGGCTTTAGACAAGTTTCTTTTGGGTTATAGATTATTTATGATCATAAGAAAACAAGTGCAAAGCTCAAGAACTGATTTTGTGCATAAAACTACTTTTCCAAAATGGCAATGTGCACTTTCTTCCCAAAATGGAAATAAGCATGGGCAATGCATTGAATGCTTGAGTTGAAGCCTCTAACAGCTGTGCAAAACATTAATTATGGAGTGCCAAGCAATTTTGAGTCCTGCAAAGCAAAGATTGTGCAGCCTAGCATGGATTTTAATTCTAGTTCATCATGAAAATGACCTATAATTCAAGAATGAAATGCCAACTTCATGCCTTCAATTCTCCTTGATCAAACATGATCTCAAGGAGTTCTTAGACATTTTAGAAAGCTTGTAATGTGCTCTACAACCCCTCTTTGAATCACTTTTGAAAATTACCCTTGGAACTATGTGAAAAATTGCCATGAAGTTAGGTCAAAATCCTGCCTAAACTAGGGCAAAATTTCACTGAGTTTCCAAGTTTCATGAACATGTATTCACAAAATCATAACTAGAAATCCATGCATTTCTAGGAGAAGTTGTGTAAAGAAATATTTTAGATCTAATTGAGATCTACAACTTTCATGCTGAAATTTTCCTTTGAAACATCTTGCATCATGGTGAAAAATTGGCTCAAAGTTGTGAAAATATATGAAATTTTCAACACTTAGAAAAAATTCTAAGTTTGGAAACTTTGACTTTTCAAAATAAAATCTTGACTTTTTGATTTCTTGATGAAAAAGTTTCATATTTTGACATGTTTTGATGAATTGTGATCTTTGAAACTTGATCTTGACCAAAAAGTCAAAGTTTGACTTTTCAGTGTACAGTTGACTTTTGATCAGTTGACTGAAAATCAACTATCAATCAAATGACCTTGAGCAATTTTTTGAGTCATGACATTAGGTCAAAATGATGCATTTGAAACCTTGACATCATGTCTCAAATCAATTAACCATTTACTAGGTCAAAAATCAGAAATTGCCCTTTCCCAGTCAAAACCCTAATTTTGACCATTTTGCCCCTTTGATGATTTGATCAAATTTCTTGAGGAATTGCGGTCCAAACTTGACCAAATGACATATATGAGTTCATAATATTGATATGGATCAAAAAATTATGAAGTTTGACTGTAAATTGACCACAATTGACTTTTTCGCCAATACAGTTCATTTTTAGGTCAACTGATCAATTAACTGAGCAAAAATGTGATCCAAGACTTGAAACTTGACATGAGCAATCTTGAGGGTCTATAATGATACATGAAAGTCATATTAGGCATTAAAAGTTCAATTATCCTTGTGCAATCTCAAACCCTAATTCAGTCATCAGTGCTTAAGGAGGTGTCTTGAGCTGATCAACCCTTGTGCAGTCTTGAATCAAAGGAGATCTTGTGAGAAAATACTTGATAAATGAGAGGGAAAATTTTGGGATACAATAGATTGGCCCTTCCCGGCCCGATTGCTTAATGGACAGCAGAAAATGAGCTCAGTCCATTTTTCAAAGGCCCTTGAAGCCTGATGGGTCAACTCGGCCCGTATTTCAATATTATAGTTTTAATTTTATAAAAAGGGATGTAATGGATAAAAGCTACATAACATAAGTAGAGATTCATAATAAATTTAGTTAAGTGATGTTTAAAATATTCATCAAATCAATATATTCATCAAACTTATTTTGCAGCCCGACTCGTGTTAAACTATTGGGTTTATGGATCGGGCCTATTTTGACAGCTCTAACTATAATCACTTATGCACATCCAAATTAGGAAAGTATTGGGTTAGATTGTATCAACATCAATTAGTCATGCGAGGGTGAAGGCGTTAAACCCGTATAAACCGGACATACTATCTCTCTAACTATTTCTCTTTATTTTCTACTTAAATCTTACATGGTGGATTTATCATTTTATACATATTGTATGTTTTAAGTACTTTTCTTGTTCTTTGAGATTTATTTTCTTAGTATAGGTTAGTTTAGGTTTAATTTTCTAAATTTATTTTTCTGCTAATTATACTAAAGAATTGTAATATTAAAATATTTAATTTACTAATCCAAAATTTTCTATTTGAATTCAAATAAATTAACTATTTTATTATTATTAGTTAATTAGGTTAATTAGTGTTTAGGTCCCTTAATTTAATTTTATATTTCACTTTCATCTTTTATCTAATAAACATTACTTTTTACTCCTTATTAAACTATTCCGTTAGTCAATTCCGTTAGTCAATTTAATCAAATTCTTTTAACTTTAACTCATAATTTTTATTTTATTCTTATGTGTCAATATATGGACAAAGTGAGCCAGCAAACCTCATTTAATCTAGAAAAAATTCATTAAGAAAATGAGGCATTTGCTTCACCTTCATCTCCTTCCTCTCCATCTTCTTTAGAATCCAATAAACATTTAAACTTTAATACATCTATTAAACAAAAAGTGGTCAATTTGTGAAAAATATATTAATCTTCGTATATTCTAGAGTTCAAATATAAACTTTCTTAAGGCATGATATTAAATCCAAAAGAAAATGATATCTTATTACTTTTTATATTGGAAATTGCTCCTCTCATCCTTAAGAGTGCTCCCACACCATCGTCAAAAATCACAAATGTTTTTATCGTTCAGATATGCATCTCTGAATGCATATTTTCACACACTCTTCAGCAAAAATTGATGTGAAACTCTTATTTTGCTAAAATTTAATTTGGAGATGTATCTCTATATGTGTATGAGGTCGTTCTAAAGATGCATATCCTTAAACTCAATTAATTCAAAATTCAATTAATGGTACAGAGATACATCTCCAGACGGAGTTATTACATTAATCTGCGCTAGAACCTTCCTTCTTCCTCCTTCATTTGTCTCAAAACTCACCACACCTTAAAAAAAAAACATCTATGCTCTTCCTCAGCCATCCAAACTTGTTATCCAATCAAGTTTTTCACTGCATTCTACTTCATTTGCTGCAAAGCTTCTCACTCCATTCAAGCTTCTCATTCACAACTTAGAATTGGTAGGTTTTTGAAAAATCATTCTTTTTTTGTGTTTTGAATGATTTTTTTTAAAAAATAAGTTGTTTAAGTTACATTAGGTAGTGCACAATCAAAATAGATAGCCTAAATGGACATATTCATTGAAATATTTTTGGAGTTTAGGGATGCGATGGTGTTTGTCATTTTTGTAAAATCACAGCATTGTTCGTAGACGCATCTGGATTCTTTCTGAACTATTTTCGAAGATATATCTGAGTTTGGACCTGACAAAATTTTGGTTGTATTTTTTATTTACTTATCTGGTTTTATCATAGGTGCAATGGCTAAAAACAATCCTAACAAAATTAGGCTCGACTGTGTGTACCAACCCTAGTTTATACAACGTGAGAAGGCCGCTAACAGGACCACAAGGCCACGAGTTGAAGAACCCTCGTTTGATAGTTCACAACACTGAAGTTCCCAACCACCTAATTCTCGTAGTCGCATGTCTCATGCTTCTACTTCACAGGACCACAAGTCCACATATGATGAAGCAACACCTAAAGCCCCTAAAGTTTAAAAGGAACACGCTGATGATGCCCCTTCAGAAAGATATTCAAGAGGTCCATATGACACCTCGTTACTACAACTCTACGCAGACCATGCTGCTGGGCATGTTAGGAGAGATATATTTATTTACTTTTACAATACATATGTTTTAAGCTATCTAAATTGATATTGATGGTGATTTTTTTTACAAGAGTGTCGGTGTTTAAAATCGATAAACCGCGACATAAAAGTATTGGTGTTGGTACAATCCAACGCTGATTGGTACAATCCAAAGTTATGAACATGTGAACAAAAGAGAACTCCACACATGTCCCTTCCTCATAATGTAAAGGTGGTAGTATACCTGAGGGCAGAAAAGGAATAATCATATATCAGTCAGCCTGTAATATCTACTAGTGAAAACATACTCTTTTCATTTCAAAATGACAGTCGTTTAAAGTTTTTGCACACAAATTAAAGAATACAATAATGTTGTCATAAGACATTGCACTTTTACAAAATTAACCCTATTAATGTATTGGAAGTAATGTAGAAAGTAAGAAGTAAATGGTACATTTAAAAAAAATAGTAATCATTACTACATTGAAAAGTAAAAATGACTGTCATTTTGAAACAAAATTTATTTACTAAAACCAGTCATTTTTTATTTAACAACTCCAAACTTATCTTTTCCGAAAGTGAGTTTTGATATCAAGTTTAACTACCAAACTACCTCACATAATTCTCATAATGTGTTTTCACCAACCAAAACCAATAAGAGAAACCAACTAGTGAAGATTTAGCACGTGGAACACATCATTCTAATTATACCAACAATAATTGAATTATGCATCTAAAGAAAGTCCCTGCAAATCACTTTTAACAAATGACACACGTGTTAAAAAGTTAAGTGTTCAAATACAACAACATTTTTCTCAAACAACCAAAAGATGTTATTCGAATACAACTCAAAAACATAGCTATTACAAACTTTAAAACCTCTAATAACTATATTTAATTTACATTTCACTTAACAATCATAACAAGATATTACAGAATAAGAGGAAAAAACTATGCAAATAGCACCTGAGAGCTTGAAGGAGTAAGATCAGATAAACTTTTCGGCGCGTCAATTACATGCCATTGAACGCCGAAGTTCAATTTCTCCTTGTGGCCTTCTTTTCGGTTTAGTTTAGCGATATAACCGACAGCAACCTGAAGATTCCGGCCAACGACATAGATTTGAGAATGGCACGCGTTCACAGCAAAAGGTTTGCATATTTGCTCGGGCAAAGGAGGGCCGTCAATGGCTTCCCATAAATCAGTTTCTGCGTCATAAACCTTTAGCTTCATTCTTTCGAGCTCTGAAACGACAAATAAGTGGCCGTAAACAACCACGCTTGAACCAGTCCACCCTTCTCTAAGTCCAACCGCCATATTTTCCCAACTATTTGTTCTCGGATCGTAGACTTGTCCTCTTGGAGAAACATAAAAAGGCCATAACCATCCTTCTGTTACAAGAAGCTTCCCGTTAAGAACTGCGGCATCATAGGAGGCCATTTTAGTTCCCATGTTGGCAATAGCGCGCCAACTCCCATTAATCGGATTCATTACCTCAGCCGAATCTAGCTCGTAAAGATCGTTACTATTCCCCCCAGCTACATAAATAATCCCATCGATTACTCCTGTGGCGAAAAACGACCTAGCACCGATCATCCGATTCATCACGGTCCATCGATTTCTCGTCATCTCATATTTCAACACCAAGTCGAGAGGACAATCCACGTCAGAGACCATGCCACCACATACATAAAGAGTACCATCATGAGGCATCGAAACACACCTAAAACCATGAGGACAAACCTTGTCCTTACACGGCATCGACGGGATAGAATGCCACGAAAAGTGAGTTAAATCAAGAACCTGCCATTGAATCTTTCCGGTGCACTTATGGTAAGCAAACACAAAAAGCCAGGGATCTTTCAAACCGAATTGCTTCCTATTAGTAAAAAACCTCTCTTTATTACCAAGCAACACATGCCACCTCTTGCATACAGCCCTACAAAACGAATGACTCTGAACTGGTAAACGAAGAAGACAATTGAGAGCAACATCATCAGGTAAGCCTGGTATCAACGGCTCTTCTCGTAGAGAACAATCTAATTCTAGTGATGGATTTGTCAAATCAGATTGAACCGCAGCTAACCTAAACTTAGGAGACAGTGTCATTTGAGGATCACCTAACTTGTGAACCGGCCCTTGTTGAGACGAAAACCTAACTCGCTGCATCTTAATCTTTATCTTCCAACCTCAGATACAAATCCAAACCCTTAACAAGACACACTAAAGCCTGTTACTTTCTATAATACTACTATGATCTCAAATGGATTGGAATAGCATCACCTTAAATAGTAACTAGCACCCAAATTTTCAATCCAAGAGATAAGAATCTATTCCAAATCCCAATCCACAATAAAGAGAAGAAGCACAAATTCCTCTTCCACAATGATCTAAAAGTAGATAGAATATAACAAAAAGTAAACTAATTCCCCTTCTTAACTATTCAACTTTGCTAAAAGAATTTCACTATTAAAAGATGTTGGAACCTGCTTCTTCATCAAAAGCTAGTAACTTTATCATGAACTGAGGTTTAGGAACCCAAAAAGCTGTGATTTTGTACTAACAGCAAAAACCCCAATTCAGAATTCTCCTAAAAACAACACCCCAGAAGCAGAATCAAATAAAAATCTCAACTTTATCTGAAAACATAACACAAGTGTTTTTCTGAATCAAAAGAAAGACAACCTTAAATTTATGTTGATGTTTTTCAGAAGCCTAACTAAAAAACATAGACAGAAACAAGGGTAAGGTGAAGAGGCAAAAGAACAAAAACAAACCTTACAAAAAAGCAAGAAAAGTGGTTGGTGTGAAGTAAGAGATGAGATGAGATGAGATTCAAGGTAGAGTATGCTTTTTAGGACAAGAAAGAAAGAACATAGATAAAGACTAGAGAGGTAAGGGGTTACCTGTTTTTGAAGATTGTTTTGATATGATTATTGTGTGGCAAATATGAAAGCCAGTAAAGCAGATATATGGAAAGACAACCACGCGCTTTTTGGTTAATAGTTTTACACGAAAAGGAAAAAGCAATCAAAGGGGTAGTACTAAACAAAGTTTTGTTCTTTTAGTTATATTGTCATTTATAACATATAGTATAATATAACTAGTAGTAATAATGCGCTAATTTTTGAACAAAGAGTTACTAGTTGGTGCATCTTAGGTCAAATTTATTACGACACCTAATATAACTAGTAGTGATATAATGTGCTAATTTTAGAGCAAAGAGCTATTAGTTGTTGTGTCTTTGGTGAAAATTATAATGTGCTAACTTTAGAACAAAGGGTTACTAGTTGTTGTGTCTTTGGTCAAATTTATTACGACACCTAATATAATGAGTAGTGATAAAGTGTACTAATTTTAGAACAAAGAGTTACTACTTGTTGCCTCATTGGTCATATTTATTAAGACACCCAATATAACTAGTAGTGATATAATGTGCTAATTTTAGAATAAAGGGTTACTAGTTGTTGCCTCTTTGGTCAAATTTATTACAACACGTAATTTTAGAACATTGGTTTTTATATCATCGTCATCGTATATTATTTTGTTAAGTTGCATATCAAGCAATTTTAAGATAATTAGAGCAATATTTACATGTTTCGCTTTGTCATCAGAGGATTCATCAGATTAATTTTAAATATGAATGAGTTTTTTTTATTTAAGATACATTCTTCTTAGATCTCTCTAACCTGAGAAATTCATTTATGAAGTGTCCAAATTTTTTGTATTCATAACAAATAATATTATTGTCTATTTCCTTCTCATCTTTTGGATTTTTAGAATATTTGAATTTTGTGTTGGGAAATTTATTCTTTTTTCTTGCTTATAGACGTTGCACTTGTCTTAAGATGAGGAACAGTTCATCATATTTTGATGTTTCATCAATATCTACATCATCTGACTCTTCAACTTGAAGAGTTCTGGGCTTCTTTCTTTTAAACTTTAAAGCAATAAGATTTGGCTTCCTCTAAGGTTTATTTTTCTTCAAGAGTTATCTTATGACTCTGAAGTGAGCTAATGATTTTTCAGAAGTTAAGACATCTAACTCTTTTGCTTCTTCAATTGGTCTTCATTTCTTTGAAAGTCTCTTACAGACTTTCTCGACATAATCTACAATAGTATAACTTTTATTCAACACTTTGAGTCAAGTGATTAAAGTTTGAAATCTAGAAAATATGGTTTTTCGATTTTTTCATCTTCTTTCATCTTGAACAACTTGCAGTACTTTATCAAAGCATTCTCTTTGGATTATTTCAATTGTTTGTTCCATACTTATGACACAAAGAATCATAATTTTTTTATTTGGTGTTGGTGAAGAAAAGGAACACATATATGTTGCTCTAATAACCTCAACAGTCTGCGGCGTGCAACTAGACGACACAACATATGATGTTGGGGATAATGATAATGTTGATGAAGATGAGGTATTTTTGAACTTATCTCGTAATGAACTTATTGTTATATTGTGTGAGTTATTTGGTAAAATTAAGAGAATTGTTGTGAAAATAATCTAAAAAATCTAATGACTTTGTTGATAACTTCAAACACACTAAGAATTTTAATGTGTTGGAGAAAGAATAATGACAATTAAAATAAATAGCCACAAGCAACACAACAACCTAATAATTTTTCAAGAGGAAAAGTAAATCCACAACAAATCAAAAGAAGATAAAAGATAAGAATACAAAGAAACTTGTTTATCCGGTTCAATCAAACTGGTCTACTATAGAGAGAGAATAACTCTCGGTTTCACTATATTTCCAAAAGTTATTACAAGAGCTTACAAAAGAGGTTAAATATCTTAGATTATTGAACATATTGTAATATTGTGGAACAAACGATTAAGATATGCTAACTTGAGATTAATCTCAAAGCTTTAAAGATGGTAAAAATATAAGAAATGAGAGATTTGAATTGTGTTGACTATTTGATTATAAATTCTAGTTTATTTCAAATAAAACTCAAGTCAATCAATATCGGACTTAAAGAAATGATGGAAGAGAGATAAACACACAAAGTTTATTCTAGTTCACTCTCTAACTCGGAGGTACGTCTGATTTCTTCACACTTGAGATATTTTAAATATAATCCAACTTATTACAATGATACTAAGATACTTTTACTATAATAATTGACTTATATCTTAAATTTTAAACACAAATAATTCATCTCAACTAATCTCTTTGTTCTCTCAAATAATTTGGCTAATAGTTATCCCCCTTTAAGGAAATGCAATTAAATAAGTAGGTAACTAATATTGCAATACAAATATCATCGACAAGAGTAATTGGTTTGACTAAGAAACGAGTCTCGTGAATAACGCCATCCAGATGGACAATTTCAAGGGATATATAGTAAATGATCGCCAAAAATAACACATTTTACAATACGTAGATGACACAATTTTAATGGATGAAGGCACTTGGGAAAATCTATGGAGAATAAAGAAAACTTTAAGGAGCTTCAAAATCGTCTCAGGCCTAAAAGTAAATTTCTTCAAAAACAAAATGTATGGAATCAATCTTCAGGACAGGTTCTAAGATGCAACATCATCATTCCTCTCCTACAACATAGATGGTATACCTTTTAACTTCCTTGGTCTGCCCATAGGTGCAAACCCACGATGTCGTGCAACATGGAAACAAATGGTAAAGGCAATGCAGAAAAGGCTCTCGACATGAAATTGTAGAAATCTCTCCATAGGTGGCAGGGTAACTCTCATTAATACAAATCTTAATAGCCTTCCATTGCAGTTCTTCTCCTTATTCAAATCCATAAAAACTATGTTGACATGTCTAAAAGGTATCCAATGGAACTTTCTTTGGGGTTCCAAGATAAACTCAAAGAGTATTTGTTGGGTTCGATGAAGTTAGGCTTGTGCGCCTAAAAATAAAGGCGGCCTTAGAGGTGAAAGAATTGATAATTTTCAGCTTGTCACTCTTAAATAAATGGAAGTGGCACATTATAACTGATCACAACACATTATGGATGAATCTCTTGAAATTTATATACGAATCATTGCATTAGAAGATTATGGGTGCTAACATCACACTCGATAGAAGAAATGCTTCAACATGGCAGAAATACCTCTTGCTCGCAAGAATGACATCAATGCTTGAAGAGTTATGGTTCTCAAACAACATTTATTGCAACTTAGGAAACGACATGGTAATTGAATTTTGGAATGACAAGTGTATTGACAACCAACCTCTTGCTACTTTGTTCCCAACACTTCTCGTAAACAAGGCTAAATATCGTTTCAGAGTTGCAGAGAATGGTTAGTAGGTGAATAGTATATGGTGCTAGAATTTAAGTAATTATCAATGTTCATAATAGGTTGGTGCATAGGAAACTACAAAAATCAGAGCATTGTTAGAGGGTGCGTCTCCATCAAGGGAAAACATGGATTCATGGAGCTGGATTCCAAACAAAATCACAGGTTTCACAGTTAAATCTGACTATGATATTATGTTGAAATCTCTATTTTCCTTGTAGTTGAATGCTACACACACAAAAATTATTACAAACATGTGAGATAATAACACTCCATCCAAAATAAGTGTTTTTGGATGAGAGTCCTGTTAGACAAACTCCCTACAAAAACTAATATTTGGAAAAGAGGAATTATGGCCGACTCTGATGATGTAGTATGTCCCTTCTGCGGGATGCATTATGAATCTAGAAAGAAAAACATTAATGGATGGGTATACTAGTAGATAATAACTTTGAATGTGTCCCTCATGGCATACAATTAGAGATGTCAAATGGGTCGGGCCGACCCAGTCTGCTTCGGCCTGAGGGCCAAAACATATAAATGGGTCGAAGTGGGTTGTCCCAATTACTTCATGGCCTACAAAAAATGAATTTGGCCAAGTTTCTAATGGACCATGTGTCTGATGGACCAGTCCAACACTTATATATATATATATATATATATATATATATATATATATATATATATATATATATATATATATATATATATATATATATATATATATATATATATATATATATATATATATATATATATATATATATATATATATATATATCATAACAACATCTATGTAAAAGTAGAAAGTAACTGAATATTATCTCGAATACTTATCAAACTTTCTCGTTATCTCACAACCATTTCTTTAATCACGCCATCTTGAAAATATATA